ACTGGGCGGTAGAGAATGTATGTAACTGGTCGGTAGAGAATGTGTATGACTGGGCGGTAGAGAATGTGTATGACTGGGCGGTAGAGAATGTATGTGACTGGGCGGTAGAGAATGTATGTGACTGGGCGGTGCAGAATGTATGTGAATTTATTATAAAAAATGAATTTTTAATATAAAGACAAATAGATATGCTCTTTTTGCAAACAGGGATCTTTACTTGGAACAAATGAAGACATCCAAGTGGATCGCCATCATAGCATTGGTATCAGCTTGTTTAGTTCCTGTTAGAACAAGTGAGATCTTTTTCTTGTTGTTTTACTTTAACTGGAACCTCTGAATAAAAGTTAAAACGTACGTTTTAACCTTTGTTAATGCACTATCCTATGATCTGAAACTGGGGAGAGACGCACTCCGCATGGTCTGCCTTAAACAAAATGCAGGTTCAAGCGAGGAGTCGGTGCATCTAAAGGAAAATAAAATACCATTATATGTTTTTTTTTAGTCGAGGTTTACAAACCTGGMAAAAATGGGAAGTCTTCATGGCAGGAATCTTCTCAAATGCGAGATAGATCTGGTAAAGAAATATTTTTTGTCACTCGATGTTTGACAACTTCAKTTTTAGTTCTATATGTTTGGTTGATGTATTACTTATCTTTTCATTCTAGTTGTGCCAACACCTTCYCTTCAYGATAAAATAKCATATTACAGAAGAAGATCAAAAAGTATGTATCATGTAYTTCAGAACATTGCAAATTTCTTGTATCTATCAAGCCCCTTCCCGGAAGATGCGGAAAAAATCCTCCCCCCCTTCCCCCCAAAAAGCTTAGCTGGTTCTTCCTTTCAATATTGCTCACTAACATGGTAGAATCAATCACTGATCGATGTGTTTTATTGCAGTTCCTGTTCCTGATGTAAAAGCATTCAGAACGAGATCACACAGTAAGTGTGCTTTTGATTGGCAAATGTTGGGCGACAATAGAGATCACACGGCTGCTTGTGTCTATTCCATCTGGACTTCCTTTGAAGGAAGACGAAAAGCACCAAAGAAGCAACAAACGATTGCTTCTCTTATTCAACTTTGTTTTCTTCATTTCATCGTGTTTATATCAGAGGAAAGAGATATGCGCGGCCGTTGATATGTATTGAATAGAATAAGCTACTTTATATATGTGCGTGGTCACTTTTATAAGGCTACAGAGACCTCATTTACTTTCTTGCAGTACCAGTCCCTGAATCAAGCAGTTACAGATCTCCGTCCGATGGTAAGTCCATGAACATTTCACATCAACCTTGCTGAGAGCTTATCTTTAAACCTACATTGAAATTTAATTTAAAGTTATATACACAATTCGTCATCTCGATGAGCTCTTGTATTAAAGCTAGCAAACCATKTTATATTAAGACATCCCAAGGCCATCAGTGAAAGATATTGAAGAAGACTACAGACGACGATCCGGAAGTAAGTTTACCGGAAGTGATTTCAGTAAATGGTACATAAGTCGGCCCCACGTGGGACAATTGTACCCTTACTTTGTGTACAACTATTTCCAGAAAACGTTGATTACTGAAGATATCAAACAATTGCCTCAGAGAAACATTCATTCGTTTGCCAAACTTTTGCTGACTATATATGGTAATCTTACCTTATAAGGAAGTACGATAGAAAGTTTTTTTCAAGTTTTTTTCCACCTTTTAGTGCTTTAAAATGGCTAAAACTTACAGAAGTTGCAGAGAAATCGCTTTTCAACATGTCGGCCATTATAATTTTGTCCTAGTCCCCTCCCATCCTTGAAAATAAGGAATCCCAAAAAAGACACAGGTAGCCCGCGCGAATGTTGGCAAATATGGATAGTGTACTCCAAGACCGAAATGCATTGTTGCTCGTCGAATCATCGCTTGAGAAGAGGTCTTCAGAGTGCCTTCGCCGGCTCTGTACCTTCGATGGAAAGAAATCTAGTTTTCATAGGGTCCAATAGCAACGGTTCATTTCAGTATTGGATACTACAATTATTCAGTATTTTACTCTTATGATCTCCTTGTCATCTGCACCCTCAGTGAAGTTTTGTGCCCTTGAGGGAATCCACTGTTACCCTGACAACATATAAAAACAATGTCAAGGTCTACAAAATATTGAAGTTTAATTTCTATTTTTATAACTTTAGTCCCATTTCCTGAAAAGATAAACCCGTTAAATAGACGAGCTGCTGCCGGTTAGTATAAAGTGATGACATTGTGCGATATTCTAGGAGTTTTATATTTGTTTTGTTATTGCCTTATGTCTTTACAACTGTGCAACGTTTAAGTCGCATGTTTAACCACTGAGAACCTTTGCGATTACTCGTTTTACTTTTAAAGATGCTTTCTTGATGACAAGAGGGTCTCAATGGGTTTAACCGTGAGCCGTGAAACGGCTAAAAAATTTGCCGTGAATCGTAAAAATGAGAAAAATTAGCCGTGAAACGGCTGAATTAAAATTAGCCGTGAGTCGTGGAAATGTGAAAAAAATTAGCCGTGAGGCGTGAAAAAGCCAAATTTTTAGCCGTGAGTCGTGATGCGGGCCCCCCCATTGAGACCCTCTGACAAGTGCTTTCTGATGAGTGGTTTTAAAATAAAGATGCCGTATGTGAGGAAATCTTGCAAAGGTTCTAGTATGCAAGTACTGGGTCTTTAATACAGCTGACTGTATTTGTATTGTGGAGAAAGAGACGATGTTTTGTTGATTTGGATTTTAATAGGATTACTTGTTTTCATTTTTTAAGGTCGCAGATATTATAATCAAAAGAAGAATCTTATTAACAGAAGTAAGTAATCAAACACTCAGCCAAGTAATTTGTGAACTGCTCAGAACCAAACGTATTCATCGTGGATTGCACACTATACAGTGTGACACTTGAAACTTTTATTAGTTTACAGAGGTTTTTTAAATGATATAAAAAATATACTGTAAATTCAATTTACAGAACAAACTTCCTTTTACAAAGTTTGTAAATTTTATGTACATTCTGTAAATTTCGTGTAAATTTTGCTCCATCAAACATTGTAAATATCTTCTTACAAAGTTTGAAGAGGACATTTTGTCTTGAGCTGGAATAATTTACAGTAAATTTACAGACTTTTCTAGTGTTATAGCTCAAAGCTAAATGTACTGTTAGCCTTGCACGTTCTTCGTTTCAGTTTTATTTTCTCTGCCAATTGGTGCGCAGTTTCCAATATACTTTTCGTCACAAGGTCCATCAAGGAAAGGTGAGATTCAAAAAGCATCAAGTTYCTCCTGAGTRTTTTTGTAGCTTTTATGKGAAAATGCTGGAAAATCCAGCTTATCTCTTTCTCTTGATTTTTAAYTGTAGGGACCAACAAAAAGAGTGACGTAGCTATACCAGGTAAGCCAAGAACGACTAGTAGATCAGGATGAACTTATAGTATATTCCTATTACAGTTAAATTCCGCGTATAAGCACCTTTCCATATAAGAATCCTTTCCCTATAAGAACCTGTACAAAGGCTAAATGAGACTGCAACCAACCGTGAAAGCTTTGATTTTCAATCGTATATGATGTTGTTTTGTTATAGTCCGACGTTATAGATTACCATACAGAATGCAGACATGGGSACTTCCTAAAGCATTACAAAGTATGAAATAAAATGTTGTTTCTTTCTTTCCTTAGAATCCAGCCTCGTATTCTTTTTCTAGTCTCCCAATACAACATTGCAGCCTCTCATTTATTTTATTTGTCGCTCGTCTTGTTGAGCATAAAAGACTAACATATTAAGAAGAGGTTGCCAGTCTTCCTCCCTTACATTCATTTCCTCAACAGCCAAATCTACTTCTTATGTACTCTTTCTTTTAATCCACTTCTTGCTTATTCACTTACTTTGATCTCCCAGTTGTCAGTGATATGTACAATTTTCCAGTTTGAATAAGAAAGGTYCGCTATAGTTCCTATTGGTAAATGTTTTCACGGGCTAAGTGCAGTGATTCTAAACTGTAGTTTTTATCTCTCTAGGTAAGAGATATCCGATGCCATATATCGAGCATCGTGCAATAGCAAGACAACAGATAGCACCTAGACAAGGTTAGCGTTCATACACTATAGCGATACTCAATGTTTGTCGACAAACTGATTCTTATGTTAATGCGCCAACCATGATCAGAATGGCTTTTGACGAGGCACTTTGTTCCAACAGCCAATTGTCTTCTGGTTGGCACATTAATAACAAAGGCTTATGTCACATTGAGCATTGCTATAGAGTCACATTGATAAATGTGTTACTTAGAAGCTGATTAGGCAGCATTGACAAGACATTCAGTCAACCAAAACAGACAAAACAAAATGACAACATCATCAACAACAAGAACAACAACAACAAAACAACAACAACAATTATATCCCAACAAAACAGAAACAATTTACCAGAAGCTTCTAAGCGAGACAGTCATTAGAATGGAAGTGTGATGGAATCCATGGCTCAAAAATCAGTTGAATATTTTGCACTAGGAAATGCATATCAGTCATGTACTAACTGTTTACAGGTTTTACATCAGAGTCTCTCAGGAGATATTATACACCTAGGCCATTCTCTACATCTCAGTTACTAAGCAACAGAAATATAATAGCATTAAATCAGAGAAATCGTCCATATTTAGGTAAGATAATTGCGATCATATTCTTCCTCAACAACTTGATGACTACAAAAACAAAAGTTTGATTTGTGTAACCCTGTCTTTATCGAGTTGAGTACATCTTCGTTCTGATGTGATGAACATATTTTTAAAATGTCTCGAAAGGTCRATATTAGACTTTGAAATTTTCTCGGCAATTTGACTTGCAACGTCGCAACAAGAGAACTTGCTGAGAAAATGGCACAGTGTCGTAGCACTTTTTAATCATATAGACGTTTCCGCAAAGATACTATCAGTGTGTCCATCACGATGAAGTAATTTACCATTTCTTTTTTTATATTACAGTGCCACAATCGCGGTATTTTTTAAATAGAATTACACGTCGTGATAGTCCTGTAGAGAAGATGAATTCAAAAGGTATTGGAACATCACTTGGACTTTCTGCATTATACAATTTTTATTAATCCAATCATAACTAATTACTAAATCTATCATGTGAAACTTTATTTCAAACAGATGTAGAACAAGCAAGGAAAGCGGTAATAAATAAAGGTAAGAAAAGAAGGAATGGATAATCTCGGAAAGACCGGATTGAAGGACCATARTTTTTTCATCCTGACTGTGCTTGAAACAGTCGCTTTCGTATGGATCCCAAATCTTGCCAGGAAGCCATGCCTCTTTGCATCGAAGAAAAAGAACAGTGAGCGTGCAATCATATGCTAGAGTCAATTTCGTGGGAAATGGACGGTACTGTACTCTAACCGTAATCGTACTGTAACCAAATTGTAGTGTCTCACTGCTTCACAAAAATTGTGCAGGCCAGGTCCGGTAACTGTGCGGTAACCATGCGGTAATTTCTACCGTACGTTTCCCACTCCTACGAAATTGACTCTAGAAAGCTTCCTTTGCACTAATAAGGAATTGCCGAGAGCGTTTCATGGTTATCAACTCGTGGTCATWGTTTGATCTGGATGGAGACAAAGAAAAATACTTTGAAATTGCTATTTGTAGACGTCCCAGTACTATTAAAATAGGCTGTCACTTGTAAAAGTTGTCATTTAAGTGTATCGGTGACATTTTATTGATGTTTTCCTCTAAACGGAAGTGGAATGTTTTCACGAATGCAGGTTTAAACTGGTCTCCCSCTTCCTCTTGTCCACAGGCTTGTTACGAATGCTTAAATCAACTGCTACTGGACAGGCAAATTAACTTGATGCATGCATTATAAATGAGCTTCATGATTATCAAAATGTTAATGGTTATACAAATAGGGCATTATAACGTTACTACCTTTCTTCTTAATCCATATGACCATAAATAACAATATTAAGAGTAAAAATAATGAATTAAGAGTCAAAAAGAAAATAATCACGTGCATGTTTGCTTGCTAACAGATCGTCAGCGCATGCGCTTGGATGATGATGAGCTCGATAACGTAAACGCCAGTCATAACAAGGAAGAACCCATTTCTAAAGATATTGAAAATGTTATAACAAAACTACTAATAATGATCTAGTTATGATATGCCCGCTCTTGCTGATTTAAGCTCATCAAATGTAAACTTCGTAAAATATTTAATGTATATATATTTATATGATATCAAAGAGGCAAGATTTTGCTGTAACTCCGAGTTTCGTGCTACGCACTCATCAGACAGTATTTAATGATAAACATTCCTGTAATCTAGATATATATACATGGTATAGAACAAAAGGCTAAGTGCTAGGCCATTTACACACAATACGTGAAAGTTATGCTAGAAACAATAGGTGTGAAGGTAAAAATTACAAAGGAGAGTACTGTATACTATTAGCACGAAAATAGTAGCACGAAACTCGGAGTTACAGCAAAATCTTGCCTCTTTGATATCATATATATAACTAGCTCTACACTTTATGTGTATTGAGCACTCTTCAATGGGATCAGCTACTTCCTCATACGATTGTATATATATTTAAAGAAAAACTATTGGAAAGAAGGGCAATCAAGAATTATCACCTTTAAAAAGCTATGGTGAACAAGTACAATACGGTAGTTTTTATATGGAAAATATATTAAGGTGACTTCGAATACCATGGTATTCGAAGTATTCGAAGMATGGCAGTTGAGCACGACCGCTTGACCTTGAACGATTTGAAAATCAATGTCATAACTTCTGCATATTTGACAATACAAGTCACGTCTTTCACTTGCCATTCTCTCCAACAACCTTTTCTGAAATAGCTTTATTTCAAATTCTTTGCAGGAGTTCATCAACAATGACCATCATCACTTCAAATTTACAAAATTATTTCAAAATATTGGACAACATTCGTGATTGTTGATTAAAAGAACTGTTTATGAACATAAATAACTATTTGAAAATACGGTTCATGAGAATGCAGGTTCATCTGGGAGACAACACTGCTGAACAATGAATTGTAGCTCCTAAACCCATGTCTGATGCGTTTTGGTAGCGTTTACTTGTTGTTTTGGCCCTCAAGGATTTCAAAAGCCATTGTAAAAGACCGTCAAAAGTTATCATTGTGGAAGTGACCAARGTCTTACTCTTCGCTTCCCAGATGATTCTGTACGCCATATGTAAGGAGTTGATGTCAAATTTAGGGAAAGGATTTGTTTGAATTACTACTGGCTATTGTAATTTATCGCTGTGGATTTTATAGACAGACTATTATAAATTTCTAATAAACACTAATGAAACTATATGTTTTCTTCTTTTGTTCCTGTAAAACTATTACAGTCTTTTCATTCCCGTCAATCAAACTTCGAATGTGCTGTGACTGCAACGGCCTGTCGCATTGTTTTCAAACACATTTACCACATTTACCCTGTATCAAAATGTAGTTGAAGTGCCAATTTTTCTTTGATTTATATTTTTTTGATTTTTTTCAAAATTAGCGCTGAGGTATTGCAAATTTTTCTTGTTGAATTTCTCCGTGTAATCGTTTGAATGAAATGCTCTACTTTGAACTTCAAACTCGGATAGATCACTTACGCACTCAAAATCGCTCTTATTGTGTTCATATTGTCAACCAGCATCTCAAACTCTCAAAATACCGGGCTAGCCTGCTTTGATCTGGACCAAGCGTTGAATTACAAGACAGAGCACGGGGAAAGCTAAGCATGAAATTGTGGTCACCGTAACATGTTCCCTTATTTGGAATTGATCACATCCGGGATTACAAAAGTCCCGGATGTTCCACCTCTTTCTGTTTTGGGTGACTGAATATTTTAACTTTCAAGTTACGACAGTTGCCCAACCAGCTGGGAAAATATCAACGCCAATTTACAAGCATTGTAGCAAATTTTGATTTGGAAACGGCGTTGTTCATTTCCAGTTGTCCTGGCAGTAAAATTATATGAAAAAATCGCTGTCACTTGTCCTGTCAGTGAAATTACGTGAGAGGTTACACGCTGTAATCTTTGATCGTGGTCACCCGGTAAGACCTGTATGACAGTGTACATGTTTTAGCCAATCAGATGATTTATTATCATACGGGTACCTGGCAGGAATACACAAGTACCCGTTTTAAATATCCGACAGCAGTCGACTGGGTTCTTGTTAAACCAATTGGTGAATAAGCTTGGAAAAAGGTGAGTTTTCTAAGAAAATTCCTTAGTCTTTTTGTCAATAGATGCTTTAMTTTTAACGTCCATTTTATAAGGAAAGGTTTGAAAAATAGTYGCYTCAAATTTAGTTTCGATTTTCACAGCGAYGCATCARTAATGAGTTTAACTGCTTTCAAGATCAAAAGTCAAAATTGATTTATTGTCTGGTAAAATTCAACAGTAAGATTTTCCACACGTTCAAAGAACTAAAAGGAAGCTACTACATTTACAGTACGACTAAAAAAATGATGCTTTTTGACTGGAATTCAAAGAAATGTTAGTTTGTCTCGGCTGTTATGTTATATAAAAAACAAAATGGCATGATATAAACTAGGAATNTTGGTCTTCTGGCCGTCACAAGTGGTAAGTCGACAGTTTAAGACTAAATGTAAATAAGCATGCTGGAACAGTAACAACAACAAAAGTACAATTGTTTTATATGAATTCTGAAATTGATATCTCTTCTCAAAACCAAACGAGCAGCAAAATAAATATTGGACTTCGGTCTTTCAATGGAACTTTAAAACAAATTACATGAATCTAAGAAGCTTTTCTTTTGCTATTGTTCGGCCGCAAGAGTTCTAATATGTCATTTATAGTGATTTTTTGTTCCAGGCTCCTACCAGACTCAGCCGATCATTGGCGCTGCATCACACACAGAGAAAGTCCCCGAGGGTGGACGAAGCCCAACCGACGATAAACGCTACACAATAGGTTAGCGAAATTTCACTGATTTCTTTCTTTCTTTTTCTTTCTTACACTTTCCGTCTCATGGATTTTCTATTCTCAGTCTCGACCAATGATTATTTCATTTTACAGAACAATTGAACAGAGCCGCTAGACATCGTAATGTGTACATGGATCGAGCTGGAGGCGACCCTTATGGTATATGATACGATTTGTATCGGCTATCTTTTGCGCGCGCAAAAGTAGTTTCATTTCAGTTTGAATACGTTTTTGTTTTTTTTGTAACGTCTTTGTGTTCCCTGAAGATGACCGCTTAGGTCGAAAGCTTGGAAAGAAGTTTAAAATTATTCATGGTTGATTAAACAAACTGCGTATAAATATGAAAAATACAACCAACAAAGATCTTTTTTAAAAAATATCTAAGAACTGTTGGAGGTTGTCGCATGGATCATCAAGTATTTTAGATGGAGTTTAAAAGCGTTTGTCCACCTTAAATGTTTGATGGTGTTGGATGAATCATCGACGAGTATGTTAGACGATGTTCGTAGATGTATAATCAAACATGTTTGATGTAGTTTGATGGTGCTACATGGTGAGGCATTAAAAGCGTGTTTAAAATAATAATAATAATAATTTATTAATTTATATAGCGCAATTAATTATTAAAATATTCTAATGCGCTTAAAAGGAGTAAATTCGACGTATGACCACCTTTGGTGATGTTATTGAAGTGTTGTAGAGCATCGAACATGTTTGATGGATGTTTACTGCTTTTGGCGCAAGGAAAAAAAGAGAAGTTGTTTGACAATACACAAAATGCTGGATTTTCCAAAAAATGTGAATATTTCTTGAAGATCATTCAATTCTCGTTCGTCTCATCTTTCGTTTTTTTTTCATTTATTCTAAGGTGTCAGCAGCCCTATGGTAGCCAGGGGTAAGCGATCTGTAGGAACTCAACAGCTGTATCCAGGTACTTTAATGTCCTTAATTTTACGGCATTTTCTCTCTCATTCATTTGTATCCTCGTGATTATTATTATTTTAGTATTTAAGGATGTGTTTTTCAATTTTTTAGTGGGAAGTGATTTTCATGCCAAGCCAAAACCAATGTACGCCAGGAAACAAATGAACATCGAAGAAAAGAGAAACTACATCGGTAGGTTAAACATGCCTGCACCTGCTCTTGTTCCTCTAAATGCATCTCCTCCCCTTCCTTTCCAGTACCCGCTCCTTTTCCTTTTATCCTATAACTTTTCCTGTACCTCTACATCTTCCTGGTCCTGCTCACCTTCTTCTTCTACTCCTCCTCAGTTGCCTCTGCTCCCCTCCTCCATCCCTCTTCCATTTCTCTTCCATTCCTCCTCCATCCCTCTTCCATTTCTCTTCCATCCCTCTTCCATTCCTCTTCCATTCCTCCTCCATCCCTCTTCCATTTCTCTTCCATCCCTCTTCCATTCCTCTTCCATTCCTCCTCCATCCCTCTTCCATTTCTCTTCCATCCCTCTTCCATT